TAATTGAAGTTTCTGTTTTGTCATAATGAGATACCGCTTTTAGGCGAGGAAATTGTATTACATTATATTGTTTATATATCTATTTCACGCATTCCAGTTCTAATTGTTTCGCGTTGTACGCGAGGACATGTAGCTTCATGTTGTAGGAAGGAAGGAAGTATGCAAAAACAAAAAAAAAGGTTGGGAGAAACGGAAGGCAAATGAGATCAACAAGGGATACAGGGACGTTAGATCGTTATCATACCGTATGGTTATGTCTTTTCGCTTTTGCTCGTAGTTTTCCACTTTACATGTATATTTGAGGGATACCGCTTTGTAGCGAAGTGTCTTAGTCGTGCTGATTTGGCAATGTTTTTCTTTTATGACTGTGTTTGGTCTACTTTAGTTTTTGTTTCAGGTGCTTTCTTTTCCTTTTAGAAATTTAATCGGTTTCTATGCGTCGCGTTTTGCCACCGTGTTTGTTGTGTTTGTTGTTTTCGCTTCGTTTACCTTTGTTTCTTTAAATTTTCTCTCGTCTGTCAGGCTGACGTTCGTTTGGTTGAGTTAGAAAGGTCCGAGCCCTTGAGCAGGAGAAAACTTTGGAGACTACCGAGGGTACTTTGGTTAACCTTAGAAAATACCTTAACCGTCCTAATAGCGCTTTTGACCGTTTCGAAGTGTTGGACATTTTACAAGCTTTAGTGCGACTCGCGCACGCAAGCACACCAGAAGGCTGAAGAATATGCCGCGGCCCTGGACGAGGTACGAGCGAGATGGGACTTTCTCAGTTCCCCCGAATTGCAGCGTTTATTGCTAGGGCTGTTGGGAGACCCTGTTAGAGCTAAGGTCGCTGAAGAAGCCGCTTCCATACTAAAGTCTGGTTCCAAGACGTCTGGTCAGTCGCACGTTGGCCCTATAAGTCCAAGGCTGGGAATACCGTTCGGGCGAGGACCCTGTTTGAAGTGTAACCGCTTGGGTCATTTTGCGCGCACCTGTAGGGCCTCTCAGGCGCCGTTTCCGAACGGACGGGGTCGTGGAGCCCTTAGTTCTGGAGGGCGAGCAAACCCTCGCAGATATACTCGCTTAATGTTTGATTTACAAGATTTTGTTGGTTTGTAATGTTCTTTTTGTTTTATTTTTCGCTCTTAAATAAAACATTTTGCTTGTGTTCATCTTTGTCCATGTCTTTAAAAAAAAAAAAAAAAAAAAAAAAAAG